CACACAGCAGAGAACCAGCAGGAAAGGCCAGAGACACAACAGGACTGGACTCAGGCACGGGAAGGGGTGGACAGCATGCACACCACACCTCGGAGGGACCTCAAAACACTCTGCTGGGCTTCCCTGGTGGCACAGTGGTTAAGAATCCGCCTGCCAATGTAGGAGACACGGGTTCGAGCCCTGGTCCGGGAAAATCCCACATGCCATGGAGCAACTAAGCCCGTGCGCCACAACTACTGAGCCTGCGCTCTAGAGCCCGGGAGCCACAACTCCTGAGCCCGTGTGCCACAACTACTGAAGCCCTCGCGCCTAGAGCCCGTGCTCTGCAACAAGAGAAGCCACCTCAATGAGAAGCCCTTGCACCGCAACAAAGAGTAGCCCCCACTCGCCGCAACTAGAGAAAGCCCGTGCGTAGCAACGAGGACCGAACGCAGCCAATATTAAATAAAATAAATAAATTTATATAGAAAAAAACCAACAACCCACTCTGCTTCATGAAAGAAGCCAGACAAGGGTACACGGTGGGGCTGCGTACGCGCACTAGCCCAGGGAGGGCGCGCGGTCTACGGGGCAGGACAGATGTGCGGGGAGGGGAGGGGAGGGGAGAGGAAGCCGGGGTAGGAGGGGGCGAGGGGATGGATACGCTCACTCTCGACTGTGGTGTCGCGGGTGTGTGTTCATTTCAAAAGCATCAAATGGGACATGCTATGTTCAGCTCAACGCAGGGAAGACGAGGGGCAGAAACTTCCAGAAATGCTGGTGGGCAATGGCATGGGCGGAAAGGTTGCCCCTGCTCGGCCTGGCTGGCAACCCACATGCATGTGACGCCGGGCCCTGTGCTCCCCACTCAGGTGCCACGGGGGCCAGGATAGCCTCTTGGAGCTTCCACTGGACTGGAGGGCAATAAGTGCTCCAAGAACACACCTCGTGTGCTAGGTGCTCGGGGCCTGGGGGTCAGAGAGGCCGAGAGGGGGGGACTGGGGGTGGGGGGCAGGAGAGCAGAGACAGCCGGTGCCAAGGCAGCAGGAAGGGACCGGCCCGTCTGAGAACCAGGGCAGGTGGCCGGCAGGAGTGGAGGCAGCCGGGGTCACAGGGCCGGGAGGCGGCTGGGCTTGGCAGGGAGGGGCAAGACCCCACCCACGTCTCCTGTGGTCTCTCCAGCCACAGAGTGTTAGGGCCAGGAGTGCGGGGACCACGCTAGAGGCGAGGGCAGGGGGGTGGATATGGGGAGAAACACACAGATTCTGGTGACATTTCAGCTACGTGTGAGGTGGGGAAAAAGGAAAATCAAATCCATTCCTAGATTTGGGCTCCACCCACTGGCCTTTCAAGCGGGAGACAGCCAGCGACCCACACTCCCACTCACTGGGGCTGCCCTGACCCCAGGCACCCTCGGGGACACAGAGTCGGCTCTGCCCTGGCCCATCACAGGGTGGCCATCATCTCAGGATGACCTCGGGGTCTGACCAGCCCCGGCTCAGCCCCCAGAATGTTCTAGTTCTTATTAAATACTTAGGCGTGCCAGGTGATCTTAAATGAGGTGTGCACAGGACAAAATCAGGGCCTGGTGCCCTGGGAATGGTCACGCTGGCAGATGCCTGGCTCGGCTGGGATGACGGTCCCTGGGCTTGCCAGTGACCACAGGCATTGCCAAAGTACGGGCGTGGGTGAGGCCTCACCAATGCTGGCCTTTCCCCACCTGGGGCTTCTCGCTTTGTGAAGCTGGGGTGAATTGTCAGATTTAGGGGTCTGATGGGGTCTGGGGTGGTGTCAAGGGTCAGGGGCGAGGGACACGTGGCCCCGCCTCCCGGGACAGAGCTGGTCTCAGCACCGACTGCTCAGGCCTCACGGGGCTCGTACCTGTTTGAACTGCTTATAGATGATTTTTCGAACTTGGTCCGACGGCTGAACCTTCCCCGCGAGCAGGGACGACAGCATGTTCCCCAGGGTCACCATCCCCAGGATCACCCTGGGGAAGCGGGGACGGGGCAGGAGTCAGCACTGGTGCCTCTCCCGCACTCTCCACACCCCACCCCACCCCCCGCCAAGACAGCAGAGTCCAGCACAGCCACTCTCAGCGTCAAACCCAGAACTCCTCTTGGAATCAACCACTATCTGCCCAGGGTCTCTGCATGGCAGGAGCCGAGCAGTGACCAAACACCCTGCCCTTGGAGCTGACCGTCCAGTGCAGCCAACGGTAAACCAGTGAGTCCTCTGGGCATCTCCATTCTGACAGGTGTCAAGGGTGACCAGCTGGCCAGTGTCCTGGGACATGGGACTTTCGGTGCTAGAATTGGGACAGTCCCAGGAGAGCCCTGATGGTGGGTCACTGTCACCAGGGCACGTCCGTCACGGCCTCCCACTGTCAGGCACATGCCCAGAGCCAGGGCAGGACCCTACACCGGCCTCCTGTGCACATGCTGGGTGCAATGGGCTGGGACCAAGGCATTAAAGCCCAAAGGGTTAATATGAGCAGCCCCCATCCTGGCCGGTGCTCAGGGACCAGCCGTCCAATGCTCTGAGCATCTGAGTGCAAAGTGACCAAGGTCAGCCGGCCAGCTGTGGGGTCCACTGGGCTGCCCCGTCCAGCACCGCTGACACAGAGCAGCGTGGAGCACAGGCTGGAGGTGCCCAGCAGAGCCCAGAGGGCAGAGCTCTGGATGGAGGCTGAGACTGACCCCGACTCGTCCACCACGGGCGCCTGGTCGAAGCCCTTCTCCCGGAGGATGTCGATGGTGTGCTCACAGGTGACCGTGGGCAGCACCGTCAGCGGGGCCGACAGGCTCAGCTCCTGAACTCGGAGGTGCCACCACCTGCAGGAAGAGGGTGGGCCAGGGAGGCCGTGAACTGGGAGGATGAGTCCAGGACAGGGAGACCGCAGGGGCGCCCAGCCAGGGGCAGGACAGCACACGTGCCCTGGGTACCAGGAATGCAAGTCCCGAGCCACACGCGTGTGGCTGGGGAGAGATCTCTGCTCAGAGGCGTCCTCACCATGGCTTCTTCACCAAGAGGTCCTCCTCCTTCATGAAGCCCTTCTGCAGCATCCACCTGTCGCTCAGGAACTTGGACCTGCGGCACCACAAGTCACCAGGGTCTCACCACCACCTCTGCCCACAGTGAGGGCGGAAGTTCTCAGAGAGAGAAAGCCCAGCATCCCTCCCCAGACCCCACAGTCCAGCAGAGACCCCAAAGGGGCTGGCTGGAGGCTCCATGAAGAGGCCTGAGAGCCAGATTCCAGAAAGACCCCCTAGGGAACTGTGGTCGACGGGGGCATCTGGTCAACCAGGGCTGAATGAACTCAGAGCACAACAGAAGGTTCTGTGGTACGCTGGGACCTGGGACCTGGGACCCTTTGCTGCAGTGCCTGCACCTGGACAAACGTCTTCTCAAGCAACTATGAGGGACTAAAAATAACTGCATGCACAGCACAGCTGAGGCAAATTAAGAACAAAACAAGATAAAAAAGACCAAAAACCCAACTGCCACTTCTGAGTTGCTGGGAGCAAAAGCAGGGTCCTGCAAATGCCCCATGTACACAGCACCACAAAGGGGTGGGCAGACCACCTAAGCCACCCCTCCAGCCCTGACGCCTGGACCCACCCCTACCCTCACCCCACTTAAGGGACCAGCTCACCCCCTCCTCAGCGAGAGAGCAAGGGAAGCTGTTACTTGTTTTCACTCCCTCCTGCTGCAGAATGAGTCCCAATAAAGCCTTGCCTGAATTTCTTGTCTGGCCTCTTATTAATTTCTATTGATTAAAGAGTCGAAGAACCCAGGTGGGTAACAGTTCTGTCCCGGATCCTGTGCCATCATGTCCCCTCGGGGATCCTGGGTGGCCCCTTCCCTGGCTGTCCTCATGTCTGCTCTGGCAGAGGGGGATGAGGGACCCCATCCCACCTGGGGTCGGAGGACACCAGACCAAGCCTTGGGGTCTGCCAGAGACCTGCCCTAAAAAGGCAGATGAGAAAGCACCTGACAAATAGCAGCTTAGGCCTGGAGCTAGAGGGGCTGGCTTGGAGGTAAGACCTGTTGAAAGCCCAGAGTGACTTCAGTTTATGGGTGAGGAAACTGAAGCCCAGAGGGCAAAGAAGAGTTGTTGACCCTCACCAGCCATGTGGCTGACAGGGTCTTGGTGCTCCGGCCAGGTGTCAGGCCTGAGCCTCTGAGGTGGGAGAACCAAGTTCAGAACAGTGGTCCATCAGAGACCTCCCGGCCCCTTGTAAAATCAATTGGCAAGAGCTCTCCCAGAGATCTCCATCTCAACATTAAGACCCAGCCCCACTCAAGGACCAGCAAGCTACAGTGCTGGACACCCCATTCCAAACAACTAGCAACACAGGAACACAACCCCACCCATTAGCAGAGAGGCTGCCTAAAATCATAAGTTAACAGACACCCCAAAACACACCACCAGAGGCAGTCCTGCCCACCAGAAAGACAAGATCCAGCCTAATCCACCGGAACACAGGCACCAGTCCCCTCCACCAGGAAGCCTACACAACCCACTGAACCAACCTTACCCACTGGGGGCAGACACCAAAAACAACGGGAACTACGAACCTGCAGCCTGTGAAAAGGAGACCCCAAACACAGTAAGTTAAGCCGAATGAGAAGACAGAGAAATATGCAGCAGATGAAGGAACAAGGTAAAAACCCACCAGACCTAACAAATGAAGAGGAAATAGGCAGTCTACCTGAAAAAGAATTCAGAGTAATGATAGTAAAGATGATCCAAAATCTTGGAAATAGAATGGAGAAAATACAAGAAATGATTAATAAGAACCTAGAAGAAATAAAGAGCAAGCAAACAATGATAAACAACACAATAAATGAAATTAAAAATTCTCTAGACGGAGTCAATAGCAGAATAACTGAAGCAGAAGAACGGATAAATGACCTGGAAGATAAAATAGTGGAAATAACCACTGCAGAGCAGAATAAAGAAAAAAAGAATGGGGCTTCCCTGGTGGCACAGTGGTTGAGAGTCCGACTGACAATGCAGGGGACATGGGTTCGTGCCCCGGTCCGGGAAGATCCCACATGCCGTGGAGCGGCTGGGCCTGTGGGCCATGGCTGCTGGGCCTGCGCGTCCGGAGCCTGTGCTCCAAAATGGGAGGGGCCGTGGCGATGAGAGGCCCGTGTACCGCAAAAAAAAAAAAAAAAAAAGAATGGAGGACAGCCTCAGAGACTTCTGAGAAAACATTAAACGTGCCAATATTCGAATTATAGGGATCCCAGAAGAAGAAGAGAAAAAGAAAGGGACTGAGAAAATATTTGAAGAGATTATAGTTGAAAACTTCCTTAATATGGGAAAGGAAACAGTCGATCAAGTCCAGGAAGCACAGAGAGTCCCATACAGGAAATATCCAAGGAGAAACACGCCAAGACACATATGAATCAAACTATCAAAAATTAAATACAAAGAAAAAAATACTGAAAGCAGCAAGGGAAAAGTAACAAATAACATACAAGGGAATCCCCATAAGGTTAACAGCTGATATTTCAGCAGAAATTCTGCAAGCCAGAAGCGAGTGACAGGACATATTTAAAGTGATGAAAGAGAAAAACCTACAACCAAGATTACTCTACCCAGCAAGGATCTCATTCAGATTCTACAGAGAAATTAAAACCTTTTCAGGCAAGCAAAAGGTAAGAGAATTCAGGACCATCAAACCAGCTTTATAACAAATGCTAAAGGAACTTCTCTAGGCAGGAAACACAAGAGAAGGAAAAGACCTACAATAACAAACCCAAAACAATTAAGAAAATGGTAATAGAACATACATATTGATAATTACCTTAAATTTAAATTGATTAAATGCTCCAACCAAAAGACATAGACTGGCTGAATGAATATGAAAGTATATAAGCCATCTACAGGAGACCCACTTCAGACCCAGGGACACATACAGACTGAAAGTGAGGGGATGGAAAAAGATATTCCACACTTAGGGACACATACAGACTGAAAGTGAGGGGATGGAAAAAGATATTCCATGCAAATGCACATGAAAAGAAAGCTGGAGTAGCAATTCTCATATGAGACAAAATAGACTTTAAACTAAAGACTATTACAAAAGACAAAGAAGGACACTACATAATGATCAAGGGATCAATCCAAGAAGAAGATATAACAATTGTAAATATTTATGCACCCAACACAGGAGCACCTCAATACATAAGACAAATGCTAACATCCATAAAAGGGGAAATCGACAGAAACACAATCATAGTAGGGGACTTAACACCCCACTTTCACCAATGGACAGATCATCCAAAATAAAAATAAGTAAGGAAACACAAGCTTTAAATGATACATTAAACAAGATGGGCTTAACTGATATTTATAGGTCATTCCATCCAAAAACAACAGAATACTCTTTCTTCTCAAGTGTTCATGGAACAGTCTCCAGGATAGATCATATCTTGGGTCACAAATCAAGCCTTGGTAAATTTAAGAAAATTGAAATCGTATCGAGTATCTTTTCTGACCACAACACTATGAGACTAGATATCAATTACAGGAAAAACACTGTAAAAAATACAAACACATGGAGGCTAAACAATACACTACTTAATAACCAAGAAATCACTGAAAAAAATCAACGAGGAAATCAAACAATACCTAGAAACAAATGACAATGAAAACACGACGACTCAAAACCTATGGGATGCAGCAAAAGCAGTTCTAAGTGGGAGGTTTATAGCAATACAATCCTACCTCAAGAAACAAGAAAAATCTCAAATAAACAACCTAACCTTACACCTAAAGCAATTAGAGAAGGAAGAACAAAAAACCCCCGAAGTTAGGAGAAGGAAAGAAATCATAAAGATCAGATCAGAAATAAATGAAAAGAAATGAAGGAAACGATAGCAAAGATCAATAAAACTAAAAGCTGGTTCTTTGAGAAGATAAACAAAATTGATAAACCATTAGCCAGACTCACGAAGAAAAAAAGGGAGAAGACTCAAATCAACAGAATCAGAAACGAAAAAGGAGACGTAACAACTGACACTGCAGAAACACAAAGGATAACGAGAGATTACTACAAGCAACTCTATGCCAATAAAATGGACAATCTGGAAGAAACGGGCAAATTCTTAGAAAAGCACAACCTTCTGAGACTGAACCAGGAAGAAATAGAAAATATAAACAGACCAATCACAAGCACTGGAATTGAAACTGTGATTAAAAATCTTCCAACAGGGCTTCCCTGGTGGCACGGTGGCTGAGAGTCTGCCTGCCGATGCAGGGCACATGGGTTCGTGCCCCAGTCCGGGAAGATCCCACATGCTGCGGAGTGGCTGGGCCCGTGAGCCATGGCCGCTGAGCCTGTGCATCTGGAGCCTGTGCTCCGCCCAATCACAAACACTGAAATTGAAACTGTGATTAAAAATCTTCCAACAAACAAAAGCCCAGGACCAGATGGCTTCACAGGCGAATTCTATCAAACATTTAGAGAAGAGCTAACACCTATCCTTCTCAAACTCTTCCAAAATATAGCAGAGGGAGGAACACTCCCAAACTCATTCTACGAGGCCACCATCACCCTGATACCAAAACCAGACAAGGATGTCACAAAGAAAGAAAACTACAGGCCAATATCACTGATGAACATAGATGCAAAAATCCTCAACAAAATACTAGGAAACAGAATCCAACAGCACATTAAAAGGATCATACACCATGATCAAGTGGGGTTTATTCCAGGAATGCAAGGATTCTTCAATATACGTAAACCAATCCATGTGATACACCATATTAACAAACTGAAGGAGAAAAACCATATGGTCATCTCAATAGATGCAGACAAAGCTTTCGGCAAAATTCAACACCCATATATGATAAAAACTCTCCAGAAAGTAGGCACAGAGGGAACTTACCTCAACATAATAAAGGCCATATATGACAAACCCACGGCCAACATCACTGTCAATGGTGAAAAACTGAAACCATTTCCACTAAGATCAGGAAGAAGACAAGGTTGCCCCACTCTCACTACTAATATTCAACATAGTTTTGGACGTTTTAGCCACAGCAATCAGAGACGAAAAAGAAAGAAAAGGAACCCAAATCAGAAAAGAGGAAGTAAAACTGTCACTGTTTACAGATGACACGATACTATGCATAGGGAATCCTAAAGATGCTACCAGAAAACTACTAGCGCTAATCAATGAATCTGGTAAAGTAGCAGGATACAAAATTAATGCACAGAAATCTCTTGCATTCCTATACACTAAGGATGAAAAATCTGAAAGAGAAACTAAGGAAACACTCCCGTTTACCACTGCAACAAAAAGAATAAAATACCTAGGAATAAACTACCTAAGGAGACAAAAGACCTGTATGCAGAAAACTATAAGCCACTGATGAAAGAAATTAAAGATAAAACAGATGGGGAGATATACCATATTCTTGGATTGGAAGAATGAACATTGTGAAAATGACTATACTACCCAAAGCAATCTACAGATTCAGTGCAATCCCTATCAAACTACCAATGGCATTTTTCACAGAACTAGAGCAAAAAATTTCACAATTTGGATGGAAACACAAAAGACCCCGAATAGCCAAAGCAATCTTGAGAAAGAAAAACGAAGCTGGAGGAATCAGGCTCCCTGATTTCAGACTATACTACAAAGCTACAGTAATCAAGACAGTATGGTACTGGCACAAAAACAGAAATACAGATCAATGGAACAGGATAGAAAGCCCAGAGATAAACCCACGCACACACGGTCACCTTATCCTTGATAAAGGAGGCAAGAATATACAATGGAGAAAAGACAGCCTCTTCAATAAGCTGTGCCGGGAAAACTGGACAGCTACATGTGAAAGAATGAAATTAGAACACTCCCTAACACCATATACAAAAATGAAGTCAAAATGGATTAAAGCCTAAATGTAAGGCCAGACACTATAAAACTCTTAGAGGAAAACATTGGCAGAACACTCAATGATATAAGTCACAGCAAGATCCTTTTTGAACCACCTCCTAGAGAAATGGACATAAAAACAAAAACAAACAAATGGGACCTAGTGAAACTTAAAAGCTTCTGCACAGCAAAGGAGACCATAAGCAAGACCAAAAGACAACCCTCAGAATGGGAGAAAATGTTTGCAAACGAAGCAACTGACAAAGGATTAATCTCCAAAATATACAAGCAGCTCATGCACCTCAATGTCAAAGAAACAAACAACCCAAACCAAAAATGGGCAGAAGAGCTAAACAGACATTTCTCCAAAGATATACAGATTGCCAACAAACATATGAAAGGAGGCTCAACGTCACTAACCATTAGAGAAATGCAAATCAGAACTACAATTAAATATCATCTCACACTGGTCAGAATGGCCATCATCAAAAAATCTACAAACAATAAATGCTGGAGAGGGTGTGGAGAAAAGGGAACCCTCTTGCACTGTTGGTGGGAATGTAAATTAATTCAGCCACTATGGAGAACAGTATGGAGGTTCCTTAAAAAACTGAAAATAGAACTGCCATGTGACCCAGCAATCCCACTACTGGGCATATACCCTGAGAAAACCATAATTCAAAAAGAGTCATGTACCACAGTGTTCACCGCAGCACTATTTACAATAGCCAGGACATGGTAAGTGTCCACTGGCAGATGAACGGATAAAGAAGATGTGGCACATATATACAATGGAATATTACTCAGCCATAAAAAGAAACGAAATTGAGTTAGTTTTAGTGAGGTGGAAGGACTCAGAGTCTGTCATACAAAGTGAACTAAGTCAGAAAGAGAAAAACAAATATCGTGTGCTAACACATATATATGGAATCTAAAAAACAAAAAAAAGTTTCTGAAGACCTTGGGGCAGGACAGGAATAAAGACGCAGATGTAGAGAATGCACCTGAGGATATGGGGAGGGGGAAGGGTAAGCTGGGACGAAGTGAGAGAGTGGCATGGACATATATACACTACCAAACGTAAAATAGATAGCTAGTGGGAAGCAGCCGCATAGCACAGGGAGATCAGCTCAGTGCTCTGTGACCACCTAGAGGGGTGGGATAGGGAGGGGGGGAGGGAGGGAGACGCAAGAGGGAAGAGATATGGGAACATATGTATATGTATAACTGATTCACTTTGTGATACAGCAGAAAGTGACACACCATTGTGAAGCAATTATATTCCAATAAAGATGTTAAAAAAAAAAAAAGGCAGACGAGGACCAAGAAAGTGGGGAGCAGAGAGGACCCACAGCCCCCCAGCCTAGATGTGTGTGCCCGAGACATGATCATTCAGTCACACTCTCGCCATTTCTCTGCGCACACACAGGCAGGAGTGCGCACGCACAGCAGGCCGGCCCAGCACACAGGGAGATGGCCGTTCTCACACACCGTGCGGTATGACCGGATGGCCATGCTCAGGGCAACCTGGCAGTGGACACCCAGACGTGCCTCAACCCCTGCTGGAACGGGCGCCCACCAGGGGCAGCGGAGCTCACCCGAGGTATGTAACCTGCCACTCCTGGGCCTGGGAGGAAGCCCGCGGGTCCGTGGGGGAGGTCTCTAGCCCCCTGTGCCCTTGTTCCCGCACAGCAACCCTGGCTCTTTCAGCCGGTGGCCCCAGACAGGGGCCGTTAGCCCAGAGGACAGGAATTGGAAGCAGGAGGCTGCAAGCTGCCGCCTGGGCAGGTGTGCAGATACTCAGCACCATCGGACTCGAAGGGGCCTCGGAGGCCAGTAGGCAGGCATCGCACAACCCGTCCCCGCGGCCGCCGAGCCCAGCCTGGGTCTCGCCAGGTTGGGGCTGGAGTGTGAGCGAAGCAGCAGAGCCGGTGCTCCCTGCAGCGGGGGGTGCGGAGGCGTTCTTAGGGCAGCTGCGTCCTCCTCCGCGTCCCCCGCGGCCTCACAGACCCCCCATGCCCCCTCCCTCCTGCTGCTGCGTCTCGGGGAGGCCTGGCGGGCAGCAGAGCCGGCACAGGCGCCTGGGGGGCGCAGCGCGGGCAGCCAAGGGGCCGGGGGGACTGCTCCTTACATGTAGTTCCGTACAGAGTCCGGCAGGATCACCACGCAGCGCTGCTCTTCCCTGAGCTCCTGGGCGGCCTTCACGGCCACCGACATGGCACTGCCCGCACTGCCGCCTGACGGGAGGGTCGGGGTCAGACCCGCCGGGGGCGGGTGCGTGCGATGCGTGTGTGCACGCCCCAACACGCTCTGGAGGGGTCCTCGGGGGAGAGGCCGGGCTCGGGGTGCTGGGGGGACCCCCGATTCCCACTGTCCACCCACATTCTCCTCGTTACCACTGAGTGTCACGACCAAACCCTCCTCACACAGAACCTCCAAGCCCTGCAGCAGATGGGGTGCAGGTGGGCCGGGCAGCCTCAGAGCGAGGGTGTCCTTCAGGGGCTGGACCAGCAGCTGGCAGAGGGCGAGCGCCCGGCGACCCACTCACCGCACAGCAGCCCCTCCTGAGCGATTAGCATGCGGGCGAAGGCGAAGGCATCCTCGTCGTTGCTTTTGAACCACCTGTCCACCACCTGCGGGGGACCGAGGGCAGGCGGTCAGGGCGGGCAGCGCTGGGCGCTGGGCAGCGCTGGGCGCTGGGCAGCGGGGGTGTGGTGGGCGTGGGGACCACCGCCCAGGTTGCAACCTCACAGAGGACCTCGGTCCAGGAGGTCGTGACCCTCCAGGGATGCGGCCCAGCCCCTCGTCTGGGATCCAGGACTCACATCTGCAGACCTAGGTCACGCCCCAACCCTCCCCCCCCCCGGGAATTCGGGTGGGAGCAGGATGGGGGCGGAAAGAAGGGAATACCCTTGTGACCA